TTGACCAGAATCAAACTGGCGACCTCCTGGTGCACAGGATGACAACCAACCAACTGAGCCACACGGGCCAGGGCTCTATAGTTCTTTTTAAGTCAATAAAGCTCTACAATCTAATAGGTATTTCAAGGGTTTGTGTAGTCTTTTGATGTTTTTCCCTCCCTTCCCTTCATGTGTAATAACTAAAAAAACTTTTTTTAGTTTTAGTTATTCCAATTCCTCAAAATGAATTTGAAAAAGCTGGTAAAATTTGGGCATTTCACATGTACAAAGTTAAATACTAATTTTATTCTCACTTGCTTCCTGTATACTGACTTGGTTTCCTTGTAACCAGCAATTACAATTTCAGCAAAAACAGAACCATCCATCTACATGGAAAAGAAGAGGAAACTCAAACTCCTGTTTGTAGTAGATTTGTGTATCTTGAAACCATCTTGATCTGGGATTATGTCTTCCTATAAAAAAGTAATCTTTAATTTGTATCCTGGAAAACAATGATACATAAAAATCAAAACTAGAGATAAGCAAGGCTGAGAAAATTGGTGGGGCAGAGAATCATTGATTTCTCCCTGAATAAGTGAAGGCTTTCAGGAAAAAAATATTTCAGAGTCTTTCTATACTGTTAGCAACAGACTGTTGAATCCCATTGAGGTATGGCAGACACTCTTAATAAGGTTTTTTTTTTATTGCTCTGATCACAGTATAATAGCTATTTATTTCCATATACAAAGGATAACCTATGTAAAGGACTATTTAATCTTCATTAGTTAGTGTTCTGTGGACAAAAGAAAAGGTTTAATCTTAGACATCTATTTATTTAAAAGTTTTATTAACTTATAACTGACAATGAACTGCACTTATTTATTTTATTTTTTAATAATCATATTTTATTTTTATTTTTGTTAATCCTCACCTGAGGATATTTTTTCCATTGATTTTTCAGAAAGAGTCGACAGGAGGGGAAGAGACAGAGAGAAACATGGATGTGAAAGAGAGACATTGATTGGTTGCCTCTTGCACGTGCCCCAACAGGGGCTGGGATAGAGCCTGCAAATGAGGTACGTGACTTTGACTGGAATCAAACTCAAAACCCTCAGTTCTCGGGCTAATGCTCTAACCAATGAGCAAACTGAGTAGAGCAGAACTTCATACATTTAAAGGGCACAATCTGATGCTTCGACATATGTATATACCCATAATGAAACCATCTCTCCAATCAATATAGTGTACATGTCCTTCGCCCCCAGGAGTTTCCTGCTGCCCCTTCCTAGGAAGCCAGTGACCTGCTTTCTGTCACTGTAGCTTGCATTTTCTAGAATGCTATGTAAATGGACTCTTTTTTTGGTTGCGGGGGAGGTCTGGTTTCTTTCACACAGCATAACTGAGTTTCATACCAATTGCTGAGTGCATCAAGAGTTTACTCTTTTTGAGTAGTGCTCCACTGTCTGAATATGATATAATAGTTTGTTTATCCATTCTCTTGTGGAGAGATATGTGGGGTGTTATAACTAAGGCTGCTATGAATATTCATATACAAATCTTTGTATGAACATATGCTTTCATTTCCTTTGGATAGATACTTAGGAATGGAACTGATGGGTCATATTTTAGGAATATGTTTAACTTTTTAAAAAACTGCCAAATTATTTTCCAAAGTACTCACACCATTTTACATTTCCATCTGCAGCGTAGTAGACAGCCAGTTCTTCCACAAACCTGCCAGCACTTGGTATGGTCAGTCTTTTTACTTTTAGACATTCTAAGACTCATCTAGTATCTTGCTGTGTTGTTGTTTTTTTAATATTTTTTATTGATTTTTCGAGAGAGAAGGAGAGGGATAGAGAGATAGAAACATCGATGAGAGAGAAACATCACCGATCAGCTGCTTCCTGCATGCCCCCTATTGGGAATCAGCCCACAACTAGGGCAAGTGCCCTGAGTAGAAATCAAACCGATGATCTCTTGGTTCCTGGGTCCATGCTCAATCATTCAACTGCTGAGCCACATTGCCCGGGCTATCTTGCTGTGGTTTTAATTGGTATTTTCCTAACTACTAATGATGCTGAACATCTGTTCATGTATGCTCTTTGCCATCCATACATCTTCCTTGGTGAAGTGTATGTTCAAATCTTTGGCTCATGTTTTACTGGACTGTTTTATTATTGAGCTTGAGAGTTCTTTATGTATTTTGAATACAAATTATTTATCAGATATGTAATTTGCAACTATTTTCTCCTAATCTGTGCCTTCCTTGTCTTTTCATTTTCTTAGCAGTGCCTTTTGAAGAGCAAGTTTTAAATTTTGATGAAGTCTAGTATATTTATTTTGTCTTTTATGGATATTTTTGACATTGTATTCAAAAAAACCTTTGCCTCATTTAAGTCACAAAGCTTTCTCCTATGCTTTTTTCTCAGATTTTTGTAGTTTTAGGTTCTACATTTAGGTCTGTAATAAAATTTAAGTTAATTTCTGTATAAGAGGTGAGATTTGATCAAGGTTCATTTTTTTTGTGTATGGAATATCTGTTCTAGAACCATTTGTTGAAAAAAATCCTTTCTTCATTGAACTGCCTTTGAATCTTTGTCAAAAATCAATGGACCACTTCCATCTGAGGCTAATTCTGAACACTGTTCTGTTCTGATCAATGCCTCTACCCTTGCAGCAACGCCAGTGTCAGGATTCCTGTGGTGTAACAGTAACTCTTAAAACAGGGTACTGTGAGTCTCACAACTTTTTTCTTTTCCAAATCATTTTGAGTATTCTATAGTTCTTCCCATATAAATTTTAGAATCAACTTGATTTGTAAAACAGAAAAAACTCTATAGGGACTTAATTTTTTTGGGGGGGGGCATTAAAATGGGAAAAAGTTTAAAGATACGTTGTTGTCTTCTCGCCCTGCAGCCCACCAGTTCTCCCTCTCTATAGAGCTATATAGGATCAGACGACAGCTAGCTAGAGTGACCACAGTGAAACAGAACCGTAAGGTGGTTGCACTTGTCTTACATGTGAATTATATGTATCTGTATCCTACAAGCAGTCGCTTATTTAAGAGTAGAGGACAACTCACCAGCACACAAGCACGCAGTTTAAGCTGCACAAATTAATGGTGTGTTTTGTAAATAAGATTAATTTTTTAAAAATGTTGATTATATCTTCCCTTTGTACCTTGAATACCATCCAACAAATGCACTCTGGACTGTAAATTCCTTTGGGCACAAGTTCCCACCTCAAAAGAATAGCTAGTTGGACTACTGATAGGATTTCACTTTCCTAAATACAAGAACACTTTTACCAGGTATCACATGAGGAAACGTCAGCTTCTCAGACACTTCAGCTTGACCATTGGGGTAAAACCATCTAACCCTGTGTGACAGTCATCAGGGTCAACTCCAAGCAATAGTTCCTAGTCTAGTGCAGCAAGCTCAGAGCTGTGACTAGCCTGAAGGCCAGTGGCTCCAGGCTCCTTGTGGAGTTGTGCAGCTTGCTTTCAGAGGACTCTGACATGGGTCCCCATCCCCACCAGTCTGCTACTGCCTCCTTCTCCTGCTTATAATCCCCTCCTCCTCCGAGAGGTCGTGAGAGGCCACGTGTCTATTCTGGCAAAGCTCATTTCTTTAGTGAGTAGCAGCAGGCAGTTGTGTTGTATAGGATTTCTGCATCTCATGCTGCACAAGCCCAATTCCCTGCCACAAGTAACAGGACTGAAGACAGGGGCAACTCAAAGCCCAGATGACCAGATGGCCTGTGAGTGGGGCCAACAATCCCAGATCCACCCTATGCTCAGTAGGCCCTATGGAGGCAAATAATAATTGCCAACAGCCCCTCAGGAAACACTAAACGGCAAAAAAGGCAGCAAGTGGAGGGAGAAGACAGCGTGTCCAGGGTCTGGGGACTTGCTGGGCTCCTGATGTCTACTGGCCTGAATGATGCTGGAATTCCGAGGTTTACTGGCTCCTGAGTTTGGGTGCTAGTCGTAAGCTTTAGCAATCTCCAAAACCTAACGTCTTTTCCATACATTTTGAAAAGACCTCGGTAGCTTAACAACTGATTCTCACAATGCAGTACCTCCCAAAACAAATGAAATTTTATCCTTTTAGTGAAAAACGTATTTAAAGTATTTTCAGGCAGCTATACTCTTTGAAAAACTAGTAAACTGCATATAGTATACATACTAAATACTACACAGAAGCTTTTATTCCTGAGAACATTCTCCAATAATGCAGGAAGCAGATTTTCCTTATCAATCAGTATTCAGGCACATGGTCAAAGGAGAACCTCACACAACATGCTGGGCAAGTAACAGAACCTCAGGGACATGGCCACCCAAATTCATTACCCTGCCTCTTCAATAGCTAAGTGGGACCAAGAAACTAAGTTCGGGTCACCAAACGTAAGAAGTGTCTAGCACTGCCTTGGAGGGTCTCTAATCATAATGTACAGTCTCAATTTTCACAATTCTCCACGTTAGGTAAGCAACTACTAGCAGCTGAGTATGTCAGTGTAGAAAGCATTCACCATATAGACCAAGAAGCTCTTGTCATCTAGTGGGTAGAGAAGAAGAGCTTTTGTTTGCAGGCTTTTACTATACCCAGATCGTGTGCTGAGTGCTTTGAAGGGGCTGTCTCATTTCATTCTCCCCCAAACTCTTCCTCCTTTACTGACTGGAGGTATTAGGGCACAGATGTTCAGCATTGTCCTCAGTCACTTGGCTGACAGGGATAAAACTGAACTGTTAACTCCAGGCTGTTCCAGAGCTCCGGCCCATCCCCCTCATGGAGGCCACTGAGGTCAGGGAGTGATGCCCCCTAGGCTAAAGCCCAACAAGCCCAGTCCTGGAGATGGCCCACCCATAGGCCAAGTCCCAGCTCTCTAATTCCCACAGCACTAGTAGTGTTTTGCAAAATGGCCTATTTTTTATTTAGATAAATAAAAGTATCAATTCATGGTAAATGTTCCCTCCTATCCCTTAGAGGAGAAAAGGGGAAAAAAACTTAGCATCTTACCTCAAAGGAACATTCAACATTTCTTTCATTTTTTTTGTGTGATAATCCCTTCAGGTCTATCTTTTCAACACTCACTGTAAAAGTAAAAAAAAACACACACAAAAACAACAAACAACAAACAAAATTATAAAAATGAAATAAAACCCTGAAGTACATATTACTTTAGCATTTAATATTTTAGCAATTTTCAAAATAAGGCTTTCAATGCCCAACGCTGCTCAGTATCTTCTGCGGTGTGTCCACCTGGAATGAGAAACTTAAGAGGAAGCAAAAAGCTGTCACACTCAGGAATGGAAGGTGAATTTAAAAGTAAAGCAAGAAAAACAGGCAAAAAAAATAAATACAAATCATAGAAAAGGAGAACAGTGTTTGAAAAGAGAACATAAGTTTATTTGAATGCACACAAGTATGAACTAATTTTAACTGAAGATTAGTTATGATCTGTTCCAATTTCTGAAAAACTAATGCTCAACGTTTTCCACTATTACTGTTTTAGACACAGCTGCCCAGAGCCTCTCATTGGGTCTTCTTGTCTCATCCTTCTTTGACAGGGCAAGGCTGGAGGTGAAAAGGGCAGCAGTTATAGGAGAAACAGTGAAGATTCCTAATGCTACCTCTAAAGAATATTGAGGATTGTCAGAGACTGGCTGCACAGACGGACAATGACAAAAAAAGACAAACCACCATTAGAGAGTTCTAAAGGTACTAGCCTCTTCATACCATCCTTTTCACACACACGGGTGCATTTTTTTATCCTCAAGAATAAAATGATGCATTAGAACACCTTCTTCCATTACTTTTACTCTTTCTGGAGGACATATGGCAGTGTTCTATGAGGATTTCTACAGACCTTTCAACCCAACGGTCCAATACTCAACGTAACTGTTACAATTCCTACAGATGCCCATGCTCCTGGTCTGCCACACCAATGTTTCCCAAAGTCTTCTCCAAGGAAGCCATATGTGGCTCTTTGGCCCCCTGAGTGTGGCTCTTCCACAAAATACCAACTTCTGCACATGGGCCACGAAGTTTCAATCGCACTGTACGCGCGCGCGCCCGCGTGTGGTATTTTGTGGTATGTTGTGGAAGAGCCACACTCAAGGGGCCAAAGAGCCGCATATGGCTCGTGAGCCGCAGTTTGCCGACCATGGGTTTAGAGTGTTTTAAATTTAAAATAAGCACCTTATAGGAAGGAATTACTCCAAAAAATAAGAGTATGTGTTCCCATTCTGGCAAAATAAAGAAAACACTACATTCAGAGATTGTACAGCTCTTTACTTGCACTCAAACTACTCACTGTTCCTGTATGACTTCCTCAGTCAGTCAGCAAATAAACAGCTTTTATGTTTTCAGAACCACTATTCTAAAAAAACTTACCCACAATGACATCATTCTAATCCAGATCTTCAACTTTTTTAAACAATAGGATATATAAAATCAATGAATACAGAAAAATCTAGTCAGCATTTTCCTTGGCCACAGAACACCAATGTGTACCTAAGTGTCCCAGAACTGAATAATATTAGGATTTATGGAAAGAAGCAAAAAACAAAAACACAAAACCTCATCTGGTCTGAAAGCAGGAAGTGACTCATATCTGGACAGGAAAATGTGAAAAGCAGATGAACATTATTCAGCTGTTTTCAAATAAAAAAAAGCACTTGAATTCCAGGACTGAAATGTTTGTGAAGACTCTTCAAAACCATCAGACCAACTGACACGGTGCTTTGTTTTAGCTCTGTAAGTCAGTGCCACCAACCCTACGTATAGGGATGCTGTAGCAGCTTTTGCCACTGGGAAAGCTCTGGATCAAATAAATGGCTTAAAAGTTCTGCCACTTTCCTCCCAGTGAAATTCCCTTCATACTGCCCTCTCAGGAAACAACACCTGCCATTACACAAGGCTCTAAAAACGGGAGAAGGGGAGCCTGCAGGAATGCAAAGGCAGGAGGGCACCTGTGGGATGACGTTCTGTAGCAGACATCACTGACAATGGCGATGTGGAGGGCAGCGTTATGGGATGCTTAATTAAGATTCAAAGATGTTTAAGTACACTTTCAGTTTTGGAGCTATATTAAAGACCACATTTACAAAAACAAAGCCATGAAAAAATGCTTATAATACAACTAAAAAATATAAATTATATGTAAAACATGATTATAGTTGTTTAAAGTATAAAAGTAAAACAAACTAAAAATAAATTATCAAAAGTAATAGCAATGATAACAGGAATAATTATACTAATTGGTGGTAAAATTATGAGTAGCCTTTCCTCAACATTTCTGTAATGTGGTTTCATAATTTTAAAGAACATCTATATGCATATAAATATCTATTTACAATCCACTTAAAGTCTACTGGTAGATGAAGTGACCCCCTCTCCTCCTTTGTCTCTCACCTTCCTGGTCAGTCCTGCAGACTGAGTCATCTAACAGTCACAGAAGTCCCACTACTTTCTGAAGAGTACAAGCAAACGTGTAAATTTTAGGGGCTAGATATCAATCCATCACCTGAAGGACAGAAAGTGAAAGGTGACTGTGAAGACGGGATTTGCATCAACTGGAAAGACTCGAAGACATACAGGGCGCACTTCTATTTGGTCGGAGATGAGCCAGTCATGGCCAGGAACAGTGCTCTAAAGGCGGACTAGGAAGGATAGGAGCGTCCATCTGGTGAAACGCTTGGGGACAGGAGAAAGGGGGCTGGGATCCAGACTGCGTATAGGTATGTCTATGTTGGACAAAGGGATAGGAGTCTAGACCAGGTTGAGATGAGAAAGAAAAGGACAATGTGCTTTTTCCTTTTAAAATTTTGTTTGTTCAAACTTTTCTTCTTTTATTCATTCAAGATGCACACTAGAAACTCTCAAATCTTACAAATTAGATCACATAACTACTAATAAAATGTATTAGTAAAATGCATTAAACTACTTTTAGAATTGAATCAACACCTAATTTTAATTCCTTAAAAAAATTTTAAGTTGATTTGAGAGAGAGAGAGAGAGAAACACATCAATTTGTTGTTCCACCTATTTATGCATTCATTGGTTGTTTCTTCTATGTGCCCTGATGGAGGGCTGAACCCGAAACTTTCTCATATAGGGACGACGACACTAACTAACAATTAAGCTACCTGGCCAGGGCTCAATACCCAATTTTAAAAACCAATACACTAGCCCTGGCCAGTATTGCTCAGTTGGTTGAGCACCATCCCATGCACTGAAAGGTCACTGGCTAGATTCCTGGTCAGGGCAGGTTTTGGATTTGGTACCCGGTCCCGGTACGTAATGGGAGGCAACTGATCAATGTTTCTCTCTGACAATGATGTTTCTCTCTCTCTCCCTTCCTCCCTCTCTAAAATCAATTAAACCCAGCTGGTGTGGCTCAGTGGTTGAGTGTCAACCTATGAACCAGTAGGTCATGGTTCAATTCCGGGTCAGGCCACATGCCTGGGTTGTGGGCTTGATCCCCAGTGTGGGGCATGCAGGAGGCAGCCGATGAATGATTCTCTTTCATCATTGATGTTTCTATCTCTCTCTCTCCATCTCCTTTCCTCTCTGAATTCAATAAAAATATACAAGTATTTAAAAAAAATAAATAAAATAAATTAAAAAATAAAAACCAATACACTAATGTAACTGAAACAAGAGGGAGGGAGTTTTGTGTAGAAAATACAAATGTGTTGTAATAAAAGCCCAGGCAAGCAGCTGAAAGGCCTGAAGCAGGAGCAGTCACTGGGGCTGGCAGAGTCACAGATGACTTAGGACAATGACTGACAGAGAGGCCACACAGCCAGCAGGTCCTAGGACCAGCAACACATTCTCTTCACTTCAGCTCATGGAGCGCCTGGATAAACTGCCACAGCCTCAGGACCATTCACTTACAAGCATCTTCAAATGATTTGTAAGAGCCACGGTTACATCAGTATTTATAAGACACCTCTAGATAATGGCTTTAATATGTTCCAAGAATAAGCCACTCTTTTGAAATGTTTTCCCTTTCTAATGTCTTCTGGAAAAAACTGGGTGGTTGGTAGTTTTCTGCCAAATATGTCTTTTATTTCAAGGTATCTGTATCAATTTAATTCTATATGCCCAGTAACAAGAACCCACTTCAAAAATTACCAAAACTACACTAAAATAAATCATAGTAACAAGGATAATATTTATGACTTAGAGAAAAGATGAAAAAATAATAATTTTGTAGCACAAACAACTCCTTCTCCTAAGATCTATATAAGCAAACTCGTCTTCATACTTGAAATAAAGACACTAAATCAGAGTAACATTTAAGATGCTTCCTGCTTTAAAATTTTATTACTGAAATCTAGTTTTCATTTAAAAATTGAAAAACTGTATTCTTAAAAGTCTAGCTGAATAATAATGTTCCTAAAATATCAACTTGCTTTCTCACTTTCATTTACTTGCCTGTGTTAATGGGGATACATTTTAAAAGCATTGCTTCTCTCAGCTGTTGTTAAAATGTGAACATTCACTACTACACTGATTAAGCTGATCCTTTTTTTCTACATCTTTTTAGGACACATATCATGCTATACTTAAGGACTCTATCATAAATAGAGATAGAAACAAAAGTAGCACATAATTGAGAAAACACAAAGCTGATAAAAGATATTTCTAAAGTAGCAAAAACAGGAAATGAACACACATTTTCCATTTGAGTGGTTAGTGATAAGACACTTGCATTTTGGAGTCTGTGTAATTTCACTTATTTATGTTTCAGGGCAAACACTTTCTTCAGCATTACTATATATTCAGCACAGTACCAGCCATAGTGACAGAAAAATTACAGAGTTCAAACTGGTAATACTTGAGCTACACCTCAAAGGGAAGGGTCCATCTGGGCAGAGCAACACAGTGGCCAGGCCCAGGTATGACAGTGCGTTGTGTTTTAGTAAGTTTAGTCACCGTGGGAGCCAGGACACAAAGAGAGGGGTGACAGGAGACCAGAGCAGAGAGGGGAGGACAGTCACAAGGAGGCAAGGGCACAGACAGGGCCAGCCCACCAACCCCACAAAGGGCACATAAAGAAACTCAGGCCTCTCTGCAGGTTAAGGTAAACCCACAGGCTCTGCAGTGAGACGGGCTCAGTCTGAAATAGGACACTTTCTAGCTCAGTGACCTTGGGCAGTTCTTTAATCGTGAACAAAAGGAATGATGGTTCCCACTACATGGGTCTGTGGTATCAAGTAGGTGAGCACACGCAAGCTGCAGGTTGGTTAGTGTTGCAGGACATTAGCTGCTGCCAACAGTGCTGTTGCCAGGCTTCCCTAAGCAGGGGATCCAACATGCTGGGCAGGTCCCTGCTCAGAAAATGGGCTGGAGAGATGAACCCACAGGCAGCAGAGAAGACAGAGGCCTGATCCAGGATGGTGGCCCAGTGGTGGTAAGAAGAAACCACAACAGCCTTACAGGGATAGGCATGCCAGGACTGCGAGGTCTGAGACTTCGAGGTTTTGTCCCAAGTGCCTGACATTGGTTATCAATCATGAATATTGGAAACCATATTAGGGGGTGCCATGGAAGCCATGATTGCATTCTAGGCACACTGACTGAGGTACTAGTGAACCATCTTGCTGGGGTCCAACCCCAGCAGGTCCAGGGGTCCCCAAAGGTGTGGACGGAGTCGGCGAAGAAGGAATGACACGGAGACAGCATTCAGTTGATCAGCAGCCTAGCCAGGATCTCTAGCCAGGATCTCCAGCCAAGTTCTGGTCTGGATCTCCAGTGAAGTTCTGGTTAGGATCTCCAACCAGGTTCTGTGTCCATGTTCTCTTGCTAGGTTCTCCAGCCAGGTTCTCCAGGTTCTCCAGCCAGGTTCTGTAGCCATGTTCCCTCGCTAGGTTCTCCAGCCAGGCTCTGTCCAGGCTCTCCAGCCAGGCTCAGTCACCAGGTTCTAGTCAGGTTCTCCCGCCATGTTCCATCTAGGCTCTGTAGCCAGGTTCTGTCTCTAGGTTCTTCAGCCAGATTCTCTCGCTAGGTTCTGTCTCTAGGTTCTGTCTCCAGTTTCTGTCCAGGATCTTTTGCCACGTTCTCTCCAGCGAAGTTCTTCTGTCTCTAGGTTCTGTGTCTAGATTCTATGTCTCTTGGTTCTGTCTTCTAAGTTCTGTCTCTTGCTGTCTTGTTACATCTGTATTTATACCAGTTGATTCAATCCTATCAATCTCTATTACAAAGGTTAGGGCGTTTCTTATCTCCATTCCAGGGAGTAAAGATTATGTAGCTTAAGCATGATTGTTCGTAGTTAAAGTGATTAATTACCCGCCTGGCACTTAGTTGAGGGGTTTTATTCCCTCCCTAACTTCAGGGGAAAATCCCTACCTGGGGAAACAACCTTTCTCAGAGAGGAGACCTTGGTTAAAACACATAGTGCCAAGAAGGTGACAAACATATTAAGAACAGTATGCCATATATGCCAGGTCCCTTGAAACAGCAAGGATGGACCGGCTCCCAGCACCATCTAGGTGGAAATAGTCACTGACTGGCGAGTTCACAGGGGCTTGGGGTCCAGGAGAATGGTCACAGCTGGACTCTCAGATCTGAAGTCATCAACAGATGGACAGTGGCTCAGAGAAGACTGCTCAGTGTTAAGTGGGGGACCAAGAAAGAGCCAGGAGAGCACTAATGTTTAAGGGGCAGAAGAAGAAGGAACTGCAAAGCAAACAGAAGCGAAAAGAAAGGAAGGAAAAACCTGGCCAGCGTGTTGCCAGGAGATCAGTGGAATGTGCTACACCAAGGCTTGTATATGTCTGATGTCCCACAATTTAAAAAATGAAAAGAAAACAAGGGGGGACAAAGTCTGGAGTGGAGTAGTCACAAATGCCAGGTGAAATAAAAGCTGACTTATCACCCAAGGAGTCATTTGTGACCTTCCATGAGAGCAGCTTCAGAGAAAAGGATGCTCAAGTCAGAATGCAGGACTCAGGAGTTACGGAGAACCCACTGTTCATCCAGGAACTAAGCTGTAGGCTGTGGGTGTACAGCACACATGATCAGACATGACAACTATGGCAGATCAGGAGAACTACCCCAATCATTAACAACTTACTTTGAAATGCATCAAAAAAGTAATGTTTTGATGGATGGAGAGATGGGCAGATAAGGGACAGGCAAGTAAAGTAAAATGTTATAGAACTTCTTTCACTTAGAATATTATTAAAAGTAATTTCCACCTCACCTTGTACATTATAACGGTCTCCCTAAGTTTTAATAATAATAATAATAAATACAAGTGACTGGATTTGGGGAGACTTCCTTTCCCAGACTGTGTACAACAGTCCTGCACAACATTCCTGAGTAACTCAAGGCCCCAAAGGAATACACAATCGATTACCTGTTGCTGAAGCCAGATGTGGACAACTACTATACTGTTCTCTCTATGCCAGCACTTGAAAATGTTCACATAAAACAGTATAGAAAAAAAGTTAACACTCATTTTTTAATGTGTTCTTTTTAAGCACTGCCATCTTGATTTTCATTTTCTGTTTCTTCAGTCTAACATTAGTGGTAAGAGCATTAGCTTATCTTGGGAATGTTACTTATCTGTGACTCAGTTCTTCCATCTGTAAAATGGGGCAAGAATCTCTTCATGGGATTGATATTAGAATTAAATAGGTATAACTGAGCCCCCACAGAGTTCTTCAGAAAATTATGTGGGCTAGTCTATGTAATAGGCTTGGAACACGATCTGACCAGAGCAGTCAGGGTTTCACAATGTCCTTACTGCTATTCCCTGACTCTTATACAAAAGAAATGGAAACGTCTGAATTCTTTATTTTATAAGTGAAACTGTATCTGTACAAACTTCCAAATAAGCAGAGAAAAACCAAAACACACGTGGATTACAGAAAAGGCAATGAGAAAAGGTTATTATAATAATACTTAGAGTGACTTTAGACTTCCAAAAGAGCATTAACCTAGGCTGAACAGAATAGTACAAAAAGTGTGACAAAAAACCAAGTTAGCTTGCTTAATAATTTCTGGATGGAAGAAACTATTACCAACTATGACCACTGAATGGAGAATACTATAGATAATTGATGTCTGGCACCAGTGATGCTAAAACTGGCTCTCTGGGCACCAACAAACACGGACAAAAAGAGTGACAGAGGTAACAGCCACATATTCTGCAATTACATTTTTAAAAAGGAGTGAGGGGGTTCCTGATAGTTATGCCTTGAGGAAAAACCACTGTGGTGAAGAAAAGGCCAGCCCTTCAGATCAGAAGGGTGCAGAGCACAAGTTCTACTATGCTGGACTGTCTGGAGACAAAGGGAGCAACACCCCACCAGGCACTGTTCCCTGGATGACACTCAGAAGGAAAAAGGACAAGAACAGTTTTAGGAGAGAAAGTGCCTATGACTGAGTGACACCATCCTTGCAGATGAGGCCCTGCTGTGTCCTGAGAATGATGGTCCCTGGAGCGGAGTACATAAAACAAGCTGACTATGCCCCACGGCTGCTATAAGGACTTACTGTTTTAATACCATGTCATGGTCACTTATAAATAAACATGGGTGTAGATGTTAGAATACAGATATATCCAGCATATGACCCAAGTCACAGACGGGTGGCTTGCTATGATTTTATAAAAATGGAGCTTTATTTAAAAAATAAAGTGCTTACTAAGCATCTGTGAGGCGCAAAGCACTGTGCCTGAGACAGGAGGGAGACAGAGAATGGAAAACACAAGACAAGCAGGTATGGCTCCCACCTTAGTGCAGCTCAGTTCTAGAAGAGATACAAACAAAAGGGGGAAGGAACAAAGGCCAGCTGAGTGAGGGAGCAAATGGCTTGGGGCCTCATGACAACCATCCAAGTCAGGGTCATCCTGGCCCATCTGACGACTCTGCAGACTTGGGGTTCACTGTCGAGCCATCTAGTCCTACACATCACCTTCACCCCCCTGGAATCCCCCATACCTCCACACAGCTTACCAACTGTACAGCAACTGACTCTGACTGTCCAAGCTGGCTGCAAAAGTCAGGCAACCAGAACCAAGGAACTCACAGCTTCATCTAAAATGTGCCCTCCATCCAGTCCAAAGCTGTACTGCCCAATATGGTAGCCATGGTCCACACTGAGCTACTGCAATTGCAATTTGCAACGAAAAATAAATGAAATTTCAGGTCCTTAGTTGTTTAAGTCACGTTTCAAACGCGCTCAAAGGCACAAGTGACTGGTGGCAAACAAATTAGTGCAGATGCAGGCCATTCCATTATTGTAGAAAGTTCTTCAGGATACTGCTGCTCTAGAATTTACTTATTTTGGTGGTAGGAGGATGTAACAACTTTCACTTTTCTCTCCTTAATAAACATCAACATTTGAGATTTTTACAGCCAAGATACAGTCACGTATTACTTATAGAATGTAGAAAAAGAATACAACTTACTACAATTAGCGTATACGAGAGATCTAAAAGCATTTACAAATATCAGCGCAAGATCTCCCCTCTCCGCTCTAGTACAACTCCTTCCCTTCAGCCTTGCAGATGGACAGACTCACCTTTGGAGTGTTTTCCCACAGTCCTCTTGGGCAGCGACTCCTCAGTGGAATGTGCTGATGTACGTAGTGCATTCTCCAAACTATTACTGACACTAGTGACAGGGGTTTCGGTTCTTGGAGTGACCTAAAGGGACAAAAACATAATCATCTTATTTTCTTCCATTTGGTTCATATGGAGTGATTTTCATTGTTATTTAAAAGTCATTTATGTTTACAGTAGTTTCAAATTTTTCTATAAAACAGGTATTACAAGTGTAACAATAAGCGCTTCCTGTGAAAGTCAAAAATTTCACCAATCTACTACTCACCACTGAAATTTAAAAACAGCCCAGAGAACATTAAGCAAACATGGGAATTTGTGTCTTGCGTCCATGGTTCGCTGGACTGGATAAAACTATGTCAGCCAAGCGGTCATGAATTATAAGCCTATATGTGAGACAGAGCCTTTAAAAATAATTACACAGCAAGACTTACACTGTCCTTCTACAAATCTTGAATAAATCATAAAATGCTATAAAAACAGCGATAAAGGATGGAATAGAACTGGATCTAGTTGAGGGTACATTTTAAAAAAGCATATTCTGAAATTATATTACAATTCCATTTCTAGGAATTCATCAAACTAAGTACTTACATGTGAAAAAGATGTGTGTGTGTGGCGGGGGAGGGGCAAGAGGATAGGGTGCTTGCTGCAGCAGTGTTTGTAATAGTGAAAAACTGAAAACACCTTAAATAGCTACCAAGAGACTTGACTAAATCAAGACAGCGCACCTACAGATGAACTAGGTATAGTCATAAAACCACCATGAAAGCTTGTCAACAAATAGGAAGATTAAAAAACAAGCCATAGAGTATCATTCCATACCCTCCTCCTTTTCTTTGGTTTAAAGAGAAGGTGTTTGTATGTAAATGAATGGAAAGGGTCCTGGAAGGATATGGCAAACCTTAACTGTAGTGACCTGAGGATAGGCATGAGGGAGGAGGGAGAAGAGACTTTCTTGGGTGTGGTGGGGAGGAAGCAATAACTTTTATTTTTCCCCCCTTAATAACAACTTTTTATTTGAAAATTTTACAGTCAAAATATATTTATGACGTGTAGGATTTAGAAGAAAATAATGACCAATGCTTTAACTTCTTCAGAGTCGCAACTGAATGTGTATCAAAATTTCAAACAATAGGTTGTGCTTAGGGTCCTCATGCCGAGGTTTCCAGAGCCATCTTGTTACTTCTGAACATCCTGCTCTTGGGTACACCAGGGGTTGGAAAAACTAAACTAGGCAAAGAACTTGCATCAAGATTGAGGGATTGAAACAAATTAACGTGGGTGATTTGGCTCGGTAAGTCTGATCACCGGATATCATGGAGTCTGGCAAGATGGCTTCTCCCAAGAGCATGCCAAAAGATGCACAGATGATGGCACAAATCCTGAAGGATATGGAGATTACAGAATACAAGCCAAGAGTTTTAAGTCAGATGTTGTAGTTTGCCTTCTGATATGTGACCACAATTCTAGATGTTGCAAGCATTTATTCAAGGCATGCTAAGAAAGCTACTGTTGATGCAGATGATGTGCGATTGGCAATCCAGTGGTGTGCGGACCAGTCTTTTACCTCTCCTTCCCCAGGAGATTTTTTTATTATATACTAGAGGCCTGATGCACAAAATTCATGCAAGGGCCTCGGCTCTCGCAGCCCAGGCTTTGCCTGGTCATCCAGCTGTCCGGTCTAATTAGCATATTACACTTTTATTATTATAGATTGGAAGGCAAAGAAATCAAACCCAATGCCATTAATCAAGCCATATCCAGGTCCTAGATTACCACCTGATAGATATTACTTGACTGCTCCAAACTATAGACTTAAATCTTTCCAAAACCAGCATCTACTTCTGCAGGAAGAATAACAGTTCCACGATTAATGTTGGTTCAGTTACTAGCAGACCAAGTACTCCCACACTTGGCAAACCAACCCCACAAACCATGTCAGTTTCAACTAAAGTAGGGACTCCAATGTCCCTCACAGGGCAACGGTTTACAGTACAGATACTCACTTCACAGTCCCCAGCCGTAAAAGCATCAATTCCTGTAACATCAGCAGTTCAGAATGTTCTAATTAATCCATCATTAATTGGGTCAAAAACATTCTTATTACCCCTAACATGGTGTCATCACAAAATACTGCTAATGAATCAACAAATGCATTGAAAAGAAAACATGACGATGACTATAATTTGTAATTAATAGCCTTGATGCGTGGGATCTCAATACCAGATATCAAGCTGTATTACAAAGCCACTGTTCTCAAAACTGCCTGGTACTGGCACAAGAACAGACATATAGATCTATGGAATAGAATAGAGAACCCAGAAATCGACCCAAACCAATATGCTCAATTAATATTTGACAAAGGAGGCAAGAACATACAATGGAGTCAAGACAGTCTCTTCAATAAGTGGTGCTGGGAAAATTGGACAGATACATGCAAAAAAAATGAAACTAGATCACCAACTTACACCATACACAAAAATACACTCCAAATGGATAAAGGACTTAAATGTAAGACAGGAAACCATAAAAATACTAGAGGAATCCAAAGGCAACAAAATCTCAGACATATGCCGAAGCAATTTCTTCACCGATACATCTCCTAGGGCATTGGAAACTAAAGAGAAAATAAACAAATGGGACTACATCAAAATAAAAAGCTTCTGCACAGCAAAAGAAACCATCAACAAAACAACAAGAAAGCCCACTGCATGGGAGAACATATTTGCCTATGTTATCACCGATAAGGGTTTAATCTCCAACATTTATAGGGAACTCATACAATTTAACAAAAGGAAGATAAACAATCCAGTCAAAAAATGGGCAAAGGACCTAAATAGACACTTTTCAAAAGAGGACATTAAGAAAGCCAAGAGACATATGAAAACATGCTCAAAGTCACTAATCATCCGAGAGATTCAAATCAAAACAACAATGAGGTACCATCTCACACCTGTCAGAATAGCTATCATCAACAAATCAACAAACGACAAGTGCTGGAGAGGATGCGGAGAAAAAGGAACCCTCGTGTATTGCTGGTGGGAATGCAGACTGGTGCAGCCACTATGGAAGACAGTATGGAGTTTCCTCAAAAAGTTAAAATGGAACTGCCATTTGACCCATTGATCCCACTGCTAGGAATATATCCCAGAAACACCAATATAAACCAGAAACACCAATCAGAAAGGATATATGCACCCCTATGTTCATAGCAGCACAATTTACCATAGCTAAGATTTGGAAACAGCCTAAGTGCCCATCAACAGATGAATGGATTAGAAAATTGTGGTACATCTACACAATGGAATACTATGCTGCTGTAAAAAAGAAGGAATTCTTACCATTTGCAACAGCATGGATGGAACTAGAGAGCATTATGCTAAGTGAAATAAGCCAGTCAATGAAGGAAAAATACCACATGATCTCACTCAATCATGGATAATAAAGAGCATTATAAACTGATGAACAAAAATAGATACAGAGGCAGAGCAGCATTAAACAGACTGTCAAAGTACAGCGGGAAGGTTGGGGGGACGGGTAAGAGATCAACCAAAGGACTTGTATGCATGCAGATAAGCATAACCAATGGACGCAAGACATTGGGGGGTATGGGAGGCTGGGGGGAGGTCAAGGGGAAAAGGAAAGGAGACAAATGTACTACTCTGTAATATTTTAAGCAATAAAAAAAATCAATAAAAACATATGTTTAAAAAAATAGCCTTGATGCATGTAACATGTATACGTGATCTTGAATCCACTGTACTCAGATTAAACATGCATGCCAGATGTTTTCAAGTTGTGTTTTAGAAAACTTAGTATTTAATGAGTAAATATAGTTACCATAGTTCTTAACTGAGACGTTGTATTTTCTTTAATAGAAATCATAATGGTTTTTCATTTGAAAAAAAATGTCAAACAATAGAGGTAAGTTAAGATTTTAAAGTTTATCAAAAGAGGCATGACTTCTCACAGTAGTACAGTGAAGAAACACTATACTACATACATAATAAAGGGAAAGGAGCATGTCTTTTGATCGTGCTTCTGCCACAGGTTTGACTTAAGACATGTACCCCATCTCACCCCACCCCTGAGCTCCCTGGCCTTGGTTCTCATTAGTTTACTTAATTACTTAATAGGTGGGAACTGATCAAAAGCACCTGTAAGTGCAGTACAAGCATAAACTTCATCACCTCAATAAAGCTCTGGAGGGGGGGCACTGAGGCAGAGACAGAGAGTTAGGAGGAGAGGACGGAGATGGCCACAACTCCTGCAGGGCTGAGCCAGCATTCACCACATGAAATACAGAGCAACAGCAATCATTCATAGAACTGCAGTAAGACCATATGCCATATACACAACAAGCTCTCTCTATTCCCACCTTTGTCAAAGCCACTGGAGCAGGAAGGTCTCCCTGCTTTGTGCAGACAAGTCTCACTGTGCACGCACAGCACAGGACTGGCAGGCCTGTACCTCACAGGAGATACGGCACAAGAAAAGGAACTCATCATAAGTCTGGTAACCTGGAAGTTAATATAACTCAAGGAAATGACACCACCAATCCAATACGTCCCACCAAAAGTCAATTTTTTAAATAATATTACCAGGATATTAGTTATCAAGACAGTTAAAATTTTAAATCACTTAGATAATTTAACTAAACCGAACTGTTTCCTTAGGTGTGGCAAAGCTGTGTGCTTTTTTAATCATCCAATGGTCAGAATATTCCAGAAATGAATTTCTTTCCTACTAATAGAACTATTAGGCATAAGTAATTACTCAAAAAGCAAGATTTTTAGTTCCAATAGTAAATATTACTATGGGAAACAACTCAGGAGGCTGACATTCATATCTACTAGTATATAATAAACATAACCACAGCAGATTCCTTCCTATTTAGCCTGACTCATATGAACCCCATTGTTCTCTTAGCTACCCTGGTAAGTAATTCTAACTCCTGGCCCTAAGAAGAGGCCGAGTTGTCTGGATTAGTGACAAACCTCTCCTGCCTTGAGCTCGCACACCACATTCTATACACACACCACTTGCCCAAGCTGAAACATCCCCAACAGCCACAAAGAGAA